AATTTACCATTAATTTAAATATATCTTATCTAAGTGCATATAATTACCAAGTTAAGATTAACATTGTGATTAAGGAAAGTAATAAATGTCCAATATTATTTATATATAAATTTTATATAAATATATTAAGTTAGCGATGTAATTAAAATAATACTTGGGAATAGGAGGTTATCTTTTTCTAAATATTTGACATTTTAAAAAAATAAAGAAAAATAAAATATATATATATATATATTGGAAGAATTGAAAGGGCGGAAGATCTAAATATAACCGTGCCTCATTTAGTAAATTATGTTTGAATGAGTGATTTTTTATTTATTTATTTATTTTTAATAATATCTCACCTCACCCCTAAATAAGGAAGGAAGATATTATTTTATTTTATTTTTTATTTTTATTTTTATTTTTTTTAAGTCGGTTGTGAGTCAATTAGTTTCAAAGATTAAAGCTAAAAAATCATTTACAAAATATGGCTAATTTTAAACGGCAAAATTCTGATTTTTTTCTTCGCTAAATTAAATTTTTTTTTAAATTAAAATTTTAAAGTTGGAATAATATCTTTAAATTTTATATTTTATTTTTAAAATATCGGCAATTTGTTTAGGCAAATCCGTAGATTTGATTTTTTGTTGGCTAAATTAATATATATAAAAAAAAAAAAAAAACTAAATTTTTAATATTTGAATAATATCTTTAAATTTTAAATATATATATATATATATATATAATAATTTTTTAAGGAGATTATCAATATTTTATTTTAAAAATATCGGTAACTAAGTTTAAAGATTAATATTAACTACTATTTTAAAAAAACATTAAAAAGTTTGATTAATATTAACTATTATTTAAAAAAACTTTAAAATTTTTGATTAATATTAACTACTATTTAAAAAATATTTATAAAATTTTAAATGCAGTAAAAAATATTATTTCGGAAGGAGTATTTTAGAAATGATAAAGTATTTTTTTAATTTTTTTAAAAAAATTTAAGTTTTTAAAGTTTTTTTAAAAATATTTTTAGCACTAATAAAAGTAATCTCCACTGAAAAATATTCATAATTTCATTTAAATTAACGAAAATTATATTTTTTTAAATAAAAAATTTAAAGATATTTTTAAATACTATTAAAGGTCAATATTTTTAAAATCATCTTAGTTAAGAGTACTTTTAAAACAAAATATTAACGGGTTCATCTATATATATATATATATCCCGTATTTTCAATAGCAGAGTTAAACTAGTAACACGAAGATTTTCAGTCCTCTACACTGCAACTGAGCAATATCGGGCATTTCCGACACCTTATCCTTATTTATTTTCATAGCAAACTGGTCAGACGAAGATTTTGAGTCCTCTGTTGAGCGATACTGACCATTTCATTTCCTACACATTATCGTTATTGTCAATAGTATATATATATAAATAAATGTTTTTAAAAGATTAAAGGATATTTTTTAGAATTTTTTTTAATTTAAGATTTTTGAGCTATTTTTATTAATTCAAACGATTTTTCAATGTGTGACAAGCCCATGGGCCTTCGTCAACCGAATCCCAATTTGGGCCAAAAGCCCAAACCCAAATTAGTGAGACATATAAATTCATAATTCAGCAATTCCATAACGGATAAACCGGATGCATATTGGGATAAAACATCCCAAAGTTCTGTTCAACCCCCGCCGTCTTCAAATTCTCATTGAACATCTCGAACAAAACGCCGTCGTATTTTACATTCGGCCTCTTCGGCGTTCCGGCGCCGCTCCTCACATGTTCCACAAACTTCTTGTTATACGTCGCCGCATTATCAACGCTCGTGAACGGATCGTTCCCTTTGCTCGGCCATCCAGTCTCCGAGATGTCGATTCGCACTCCCTCCGCGCCGATCTTCTCCAGCGCCGAGTAGAAAGAATCGACCATCGCGTCGAACAGATTGAAGTACTGTAAGTTTCCGTCCACCACCACCGGCGCGGTGGATGTGAAGAGAGCGTAATCGAGCGAGATTTGTTGTGGGTTTGATGCGTATGCGAAATATGTGTACGCGTTCAACAGTAATGGTGCGCCGGATGTCCCCAAAACTAGAGTGATGTCTTTTAAGGGTCCGATGGCGGTGGTAGAGAATGCTCCGGCGGAAGGTGGGTGTGAGACTGCCAATGCTGACATGGGCACCACGGTCGACACCTGAAAGTGACGACAAAATCTAATTAAGTTTATAAGTAAAAGTAGGAGTTCAGGGAGGATTTGTTGTTCGAGAATTTTGGAGGGAATACTAAGTTGCCTCATTCAATGATCATGAGTTTATAGACATAGGAGTCGATCACGAGTTTATGGGCATGGGAGCCTAATTTGAATTTGGGAAGGATGCGTTTATGGGAGCCTAATTTGGGAAGCCTAAGGGCATGGGAGCCTAATTTTGGAAGGATCATGAGTTTATGGGTATGGGAGTTGAGCCTAATTTACCCAATGATCATGCAGCCTAATTTAGTCAATGATCATAGGTTTATGGGTATGGGAGCCTAATTTAGGCAATGATCATGGATTTATGGGTATGATGAATTTAAGGAATGATCATGGGGTTTATGCTCAGCGAATTTAAGGAATGATCATGGGTTTATGCTCAACAAATTTAAAGAATAATCATGGGTTTATGCTCATGGGTTTATGGGTATGGGAGTCCCACGGTGGTGGCTAATTTAAGGAAGGATCATTTTATGGGTATGGGAGTTCCACAGTGGCTAATTAAGGGAATGATCATGAGTTTATGGGTATGGGAGTCCCGTGTAGCTCATTTAGAGGATGATCATCATGAATTTATGGGTTTATGGAGTCCGACAATGGGTTTAGGGAGTCCCACCACGATAATTAATTTAGGAAATAATCATGGGTTTATGGAGTCCTACCCACCCTGACTAATTTAGGAATTTAGGGAATGATAATGAGTTTATAAGATCTAGGATCATTAGGGAATCATCGTAATACAGGGAATATCATACCTGATGAGGAATTCCTAAAATTTAACTCTCACCTTAATGTCGCTTTTGACGCCGGCAATAACAAGCGCCTGCATAATATTCTTAATAGCATTGGCGACAAATGGCGCCGCCGCATCGTCAGGGACAACCTCATTACCGACAGTAATGTATGCAATATTAACACTCTTGTAATAAGGAACCACATTAGCATTAACCCAAGAATTCGCCGCTAATTGGTCGGCAGCAAACCCCTTAATATCCTCATTTCTCGTTCCCAACCACACCACTAAATTCCTCCGCCCTTTCAAGGCATCAAGAACCGAATGATTGGGCTCATATACCCGCAAAATGTCTATCCCACACCGCCCATATAACTCAACCACCTCACTCGGCACCGGAAGATTGTCGCCGTTCAGCCCGTAGTTCACTCCGACCGCGCCTAACCCACCTAGAACACAAGCTCAACAAATAAGAGGGAGAAGACAAACAAAAAAACAATTTTTTTAAAAAAGCGACAAATTGATTACTTATGAGAAGGGCTTGATCGGAGAAGATGAAGAGGAGGAGAAGGGCGGCGGAGGCTGGGCCGAAGAAATCCATGGTGGTTTAAGGTGTGGTGAACAAGGCTGAGGAGATTTTATAGGGAGTTAAAAATTAGGGGCGGGGATTACGAGAAAATTAGATGTTTATTAGTGGGTTTCAAATTAAGGAATTAGAGATACGAGTTGACCTGTAAATGTTGTCGAATCCACCACATCCAAATGGTTGCGAGAATTCTCTTATTTATAATCATTTATATAATACACAAATATGTAAATTACAAATAATATGGAAATAGCACTCAAAGAAAATAAAATGACAAATATGGTAAGCCTAATATAAAGCAAATAAAATATCTATATTTGCCTGATAATGAAGGGTCAACTATCCTCAAAGCTTGTTCCATTTAGCCTAATATAGTGTGGTAGTTAATAATACTCCAAGCTTGTTCCATTTGTTGCCAAATGAGCGATGTGTTTATATGGAAAGAACTTTCAAATATTTTTAGATGGGCCAGAATCTAATTTTTTTTTTTATTAATGAAAAAGGTTTAATTAATTATTAGTAATTGGTGTTTTTATTGGAATATGAATTAATATGATTTATTTTAAGATTAATTATAGATAATAAACTCGATTTCTTTCTATTGATAAGTTGATAATTAAATTTATTACTGATTAATCAATAATGTAGTGCAGACATTTATCATATTAACTTTATGGGAATGATTGATGATTTGCAGTGGTATAGTGTATAATATATAAACATCCATTTATTATTTGGAGTTAAAAAAGTTAGGAGGACAATATTTGCTAGGTAGGCTTGGATCGTTACATATGGTATTAGAGCTAGATACTAGACGATGTGCTAGCGAAGAGACTGTTTTCCGAAGGGGTAGACATGAGATGGTGTGCCAGTAAAGACATCGAGTCTCGAAGAGGGTGAATTTGGTGGGAGTCCCACATTGATTGGAGAAATGAGCGATCGAAGATGGTGGATTTGGTGGGAGTCCCACATTGATTGGAGAAAAGAGCGAGGGATCCCAGATGAGGGAACCCTAAGAGAGCCACCGACTCCAACTACCGTCTATGTAGGATCCATAATAGATCTGACCAACTGCCCATCCTACCTCCTCTACATTCTTGACAAATCCGCTATTGACAATAAGGATGTGTAGGAAATGGCCAGTATCGCTCAGTTGGTAGAGTAAAGGACTCAAAATCTTCGCCTCACAGTTTGCTGTGAAAATAAACAAGGATAATGGGTCGAGGACGTAGAGTCCTAAATGGGGATGTATTATGAGATTTTGCCTCTCTTAAGGAAGAGAACGAAACATTTTTTATAAGAATATGAAAACCTATCCTTAGCATATACGTTTTAAAAACTTTGAGGGGAAGCCTGTAGAGGAAAACCCAAAACCTAAAAAAGAAAGCTAAAAAAGAACAATATTTGTTAGCGGTGGACTTAGACCATTAGAAAAGATAGAGATCGGCAGCAAAGATTCCAATATTTCTTTAAAGCTAGGAGCTAAAAGAAAAAGAACGATTCCCAGTATCAAGGTTCTCAAGAATTCAACCAACATATATGCAGACACTGCTTTACAAAATAAATGAAGATAATGGGCGTGAAAAAGAATAGCAGAAAACTCCTCTGGTTTAGCCTTGCATTACATTTCATCACAATATACACACACACACACACACACACACACTCCTTTGTGGTGGTGCCATGTTGCATGGTCCTCACTTTCAAGATGACGCTTTGGTTAAGTATTTGGGTGATCTCGGCGAGGACTCCCCCCATGGAACTGGACTTTCTGCAGATCTTAACAAAAAGGCTGAATGAAAGGTGACCCATCATTCTCTTTTATCCTCTTCCCTGTCATCTTCATCAAACTCGACGGAGTTTCCAACGTCCTTCTCGATCCGATCTTGCTTCACTAGACTCAGTTCACTCTCTGGCTTTGCTCGGTTTAGGGATTGAGCCTCTTCGTCATCGGATTGAGCTCCAATTTCGTCAGAGTAAGCATACCTTGGTTCATGATTGTTAAGTTAGGATAAAGCTGATTGTAGAGGAGAAAAAAAATTAAGATATTGAGAAATATAAAAATACCGTTGAGAACTCTGTGATGGTGCCCAGAGATAGCAGATAACGCACAGCAAAGAAAATGCAAGGATGTTCCAAAACGCAGTTATGATCCAAGCACTCTGCCACCTTTCATTGAAGGGATCTGTCGCCTTGAAGTAGACCTATAATATGCAAAAACTTATCATGAAAAATCCCTGAGAGAACGTTCTAATCGATAGGTAAATAATAACAATAATAATCTTAAAAAGAAGATTAGAGATATAAGACAACTAGAGAAATTGAAAGCGAAGTATATGACGCAGAGTAAGTTCATTGCCTGGTTGAAGTTAGCAATACATTCAGAGAGAGATAAAGATATGAAAAGAAATCCTTCCAATCTACTTCAGAATCAAGAATCGACCAGAATAATTATCTACTTCCCCAAAAAGTTGACTTCCCACAAAAAGAACTACAACACGTGCCGATCATACACGCCCACAACAACAATAAGACACCGTTGGCAAGTCGCAAAAAACAATCTATATGGTTGGAGTAGCTGTCATAATGATTTTGCACTAAGTACGACACACAGCATGCATCGTTCTGAAGATGCGTCGTGCATGAACTTCGTGACCCTTTTTTTCTTTCTATATTTTAGTTTCCATATGGTAAAGCATTAGGTTGGCACTAATAGTGCTGACGGCTGAGATCTATATATGCACCTACATGGATAGAGGAATAAAATGTGTATAGAGATTGAAATCATACCTCATACACTATCCAAGCAACAGAAGCAATAACAGTGGCTACCAATGCATTTGAGAACTTCCTATATATTTCCAACTTAACAGAGCTCCTCTTCATCTGAAAAAAAAAAAAACAAAAAACAAAAAACAAGTTTATCGTACAAAATGAGTACAAAGATACTGAGGCAAAGACGAATAGAAAAAAAAAGGTTAATGAAAGGATGCACACTGTTAAACATGGCGGATTTCAGGAGTAGGAAAGCAATACCTGTAATTGCTCTAGCGTCCTTGAAAGGGAAGTAAATATCCATAATATTAAAAAGGCATCTAGGAATGCATCAGGGAGGACTAGGAACAGTCTTGCTCTTCCAGAAACATCATTTATAGTCCCAACATACTCTGTAATATCCAATAACTCAGATGCCAAGAAGTAAGTTACCCCTAGAAGAAGAACTTTTGAGGTAAGACCACCAAGAGTAGGCCGCACAACACCATAACCCATGGAAATTGACAGTATAAGAAGCCGCGTAACTGTTTTTCTTATAGCACCAACAGTCACCACCCATGTTGTGATTACAACTGGCCTAATGCCTGTATCATTGAAGTTTACATATTCAAAGTACCAAAGAACCATCTCAAATAATCCAAGAGCAATTACGACTGTGATGCAATGCTGAAGTTGCAGAATATCCCTCCAGAACCTCACATACTGAGATAACCAAACGACAGTAAGCAATAAATATGCGAGTGACATGAATACATAAAATCTCATTAAAGAGAACATCCGTCCGGGTAAATAACCATAGGGATTTTTCCACTTTGTCCTCCCACTCATCACTAATCCTTTGAGGTTTGGATCGCATGTTACAAAGAACAAGCTATACATTCCTGTTTTTGTAATGGGAACTTCCACATCATCCATAACAGTGTACAAATAATTGCCACTGAATTGTACATTTAAAACAACAGGCCAATTAATATCCGATGCAGAAGGTCTTCTAATGACTTCTCCTTGTTTACATCCTTCAAGCTTAGCTAGATCTGGAGTGCAACATATAGCTCTCTGTCCACCATATGCAGAACCACCAATGTTATCACGGTCCGCAGCCTCAAAGATGATAACCTGTATCAACCCTGTGCTATGCTCCATGTCTGTATGTAGGTCAGCAGCAGCCTTGCTCCTCCAAAAGGTGATATTATAAAATCTGTCCCATTTGTAGAAGTCATGAATACACAGTCTTACTGTGGGAAAAATAGGAAGGAAGGGCAAAATATTCTTTTATAAAAATCCACATGCAGAGTATAAACATTCAGTGAGCTACATTACAGCATGGCATAAATTTTTGGAAAACCAGTTTTTGCGAAAAGTTAAATTCATTAAAGCAATTTCAAGGACGCATACAGATAGGTTATCTTTAGAAACAAAAAATTAAATTACTGTCAAGTTGTTCAAAACCAGTTTATTTAATCAACTAGTAGTTCTAAATATGATTTTTAAGCAAACGGAAATTCTTCTAAGGATATAGTTCATATTTAAGCACGTCTTAGTGCCCCACTTATAGGAAGTACTAAGGCATTCTAGTGGCATGATACTTCCAATAACGTAAAGCAATAAATAAATCCAAGCACTAAACTAAGAGCCACATCATTGGAACTACAGTGCTACTCTGGTCACATTTTCAGCAATAAAGAAAACGCAGTCTTTATTTTTTTATAACCAAGAGTCAGAGCTTCGCTCCCATTTACTCGGGGGCACCCACAGCCTCTCCTCAAGGCCTGGACCCAGAAAACAACAAGGGTTTTTAGTATTTATCTCACCCAAAAGTTGGAAGAACTTCGGACCTTAAGGAAAATGACTCTTTACATGTACCAATCCCAAAAGATAAGAAGCCAACCTGAAAAAAATGGAAGAATCCCCGAGGTTGCGATTCATGTGATACATCGACTCAATTCATTTAAGATTGACAAAGAAACCTTGATTTTTTTTTTTTTTTTTTTTTTTTTTTTTTTTTTTTTTTTTTTTTT